GGGTGGGAGGCACTCAGGGGTGGAGAGGAGCGAGTGGTGGGTGGTTGGATGGAAGGACACTTGGGGGAGGGGGCGGAGAGGAATGGGCGGGAGGCACTTGGGGGAGCATGCGGAGAGGAACGAGTGTGGGCAGGAGGCACTTGTGGGTGGAGAGGAGCAAGCAGCGGGTGGGCGGACACTGGGGGGGGCGGAGAGAAGTGAGCGAAGACGGGAGACGCTTGGGGGCGGAGAGGAGCGAGCAGTGGATGGATGGGCAGGGGGACACTGGGGGGAAGGAGTGGAGAGGAACAGGCAGGGGGTCTTAGAGGATGGTGGAAAGGAGTGTGCAGAAGGTGCTCGGGGGAGGGGATGAAGAGGAACAAGCAGAGAGCTGGCGAGGGGTCTTGGGGGTGGGGACAGAGTGGGGGCGGGGCCTCAGGGCGGAGAGGGGGTGGAGCAGCTACTAGCAAAAACAAAAGTCAGCACCTGTGGGTACACACAAGGAAAATACTGATAACGGAAGGGCTGGGAAATGTTATAACATTTGACACCCAAGTGAAGATTAATTTCCTTTCCTCTCTTAACATGAATTATCGGCAATGGGAAAAATATGCCCAGGTAGAAAGAGGGAGGGTCAAATCATGTGAGCATCCAAGGATCTATGCGGTCTACAGCACCAAGGACCTGCAGATCTGTCGAAGGACGTCTCGTTTCTTTCTTTCCAGTGGCAAAAGGGTTAAACAGGAGCTTTACCTTTCTTTTTGTGAATCCTCCATAGGCAGAGGGCAGCCAGGGCGAGGACGCAAACACAGATCGTCAGGATTACAAAGAGGGGGACCCGCCAGGAGGAAACTCTGGGGAAGAAAGTGTCTGCAGGGAAGAGAAGAACACAGGTTAACTCACGTCACCCATTCTGCCCCATGCAGATGTGACATAAAATAATTAACAAACCTAGTAACAGGTTGTGGGACCCTTTTAGCTCCTTGTGCTAGATAGAAAAGGCTGGAATCAGTTCTTTTGTTTTTGGTAATGTCAAAAGGTTACAATACAATACAAACTATTAAATAAAAATATATCCTATGGGTTTAATATAAAATATATAAATATACTATAATCTAGTAGAGTATGAATACGCCAATATAATATCAAAGTCCAAACAAACTGAATCCAAAGGATGACACTGAAATGAAACATTTTTGGAACGAAATGAGAAAGTCAAAATGATTCAGTCTGACTAATTCCAGTCAAATATCTAGTTGAAATAGACACGTTCCCAGTAAAGGTTTGCTTCCAACAAAAATGCATCTGCCTTGAACATTTTCAAACCAGCTCTAATCAGGATATTCCACTATTATTATTTATTATTCGTATGACCTCGGGTCCCTAGCCATGGACCAGGAACCTACTGTGCTAGGGGCTGGACAAACACTGAACCAAAAGATGGTCTCTACCCCAAACAGCTGACAATCTAAGAATATGACAGGAGACAACAGATGGATAAGACAGATGTGGAATACAATGGAACAATGAGACAACAGTGGTCAGCATGATAGATGAGGGTCCCAGGGCCCCAGCAGCCTAACTGAGATGAGGGCCCTGTTATTCTGGGTGCTGCACAGACACACAGTGACTGAGATCAGGGCC